ACTTCGTCTAAAACCATGTGCATATAAACATTTTACAAACTAACTTTCGGCTCCAGTGAAGCAGTCAGACCAATTTTAGATCCAGAGATGTGCTTCTGTTTTCTGTAAATCTTCACTTTCCAACCCAAGAAGAACGCTCGCATCAGCTCATTACTCTTAATCTTGGTATCTTTGGTATATTTCACGATTTACTGATGCAGGATATGTTACAAAATATGGCGGAGTGATGAAGGCATGCAAAGGTGCATCACAATTTTCATGACTTTATGTGGTTTTCACCATCAATTTAGTCGCATTGGCCCGCAAAACTGAGCCTCAGTTGGACGTAAACTAGTTTGGTGTTGTGTGCACTTTCCCGCTGGTTTTATCCTGGCATTGAATGTGTTGAATCAAGTTTTCGCCTTGTTTAGCTCCGTTTCATTGCAACAAGCGGGTGCTGATGGGCATCAGGAAGCGCGAAACCATCATCTTGGCTGTCTCGGCATTCATCGCCAGAAGGGTCGAGCGACCAGCGACCAGCAACCGACTTCAGGAGAGACCGTCTTCTTCGGAATGGACTGTTTTTTTCCCGTTTCGTCGGGTCGCGTTTTTGGCTCACGAATTGCCAGACGGATTTGTGCATGAGCAGGCGGCCTATTGACCTCTGAGCATAGACGATTTGAGGCAGAGTCCTTATTGCTTGTTTCCAGATGCTTCGACAGAATACTTATTTTCAATGTAAGTAGTTTCCAAGACTAGTTTTCGGCAGAATACTTATCGCCACTTAAGCTATCAGGCTTCAGAACGCTACGGAAACCTTGCATCCTATGATGGTACTAGATTTATGCTTAAAAACTAGTGAATACCAAGAAAAGTTGGGTTTCGAAGAATCTCTTGTTTCATTTTTTTGTGCTTACTTCCATTTCGAGTGAAAGTGTTGGGTGAATAGATTCGAAGGTCGGTTCCACCAGAAGACGACGGTGGATTTCTCTTAACCCACTGTCGATTGGCTTTACTGGAACATACATGCTAACGCTGATTCCGAGGTAATCTCCTTCGATTCCGGTGAACAGGTGCTAAGCTTTCGAGGGATTGACTCCACTTGACTCTCTGACGAGTTCGTAGCTTAGTGCGAAGAATGGCAAAACTGACTGATGAGGCCGGCGAAACGTTTGAGAATGTACCAAGTCCACTGTCAGATGCTGGGAGTCATGACAACTACTACGGCAGACGATTTCAGACTAGGTGCGTTCTACATAGTCGCCCTGACAACAAGACCAAGTTGCGACAACGAGGTCAGTCCACTTCTTCTAAAGTATCAAGTCATTGGTCCGATGCTGGGCAGAGGGCTAGGCACGTTCCACGAGGTTTCCATGACGCTCCGACCAAGTTGCGAAAGCGAGATCTAACCAACGCTACATAGCTGAAGGAGACTGTGACCCAGCGGAAGGCCACACTATCTTGTTCCTCATATCTGCCCACTTAATGTTGTCCATTTACATATTGACACCATTTTGTGCTCTCGTTTCCACTGTTGCCTGAGCATGTATCGCTTTAAGTGGATTTAATGAAGCATAGTCTCCTTCACCACCGGTTTCCGATGCCGTTTGCAGAACTTCATACCCCTTCGCAATTGCTTCTTGCTAAACGTGAAGATCATTGGTATGTAGAAAAACTGGGTTTCGAAGATTTCCTTAATAGAATGATGTTAGAGTATACGAATAAAAATTGGGTTTCGGGGAATCTCTTGTTTCATAATTGTTGAGCTTACTTCCATTTCGAGTGAATGTGTTGGGCAAAAAGATCCGAAGGTCGGTTCCACCAGAAGACGACCAGCAACGGATTTCTCTTGACCAGCTGTCGATCGGCTTCACTGGAACATTCATGCTGACGCTGTTTCCGAGACAATCCTA